TTTTTTCTGTTCTATGTGTACATCATAAACTTCAAAACCACTAGCTAGTTGTGATGCAAGTTCAAAGTTCATTCCATTTTTGAAACTGTTACTTTTTTAATGCATTTTAGTTTGCTAGGGTCACATGAAAATCAAAATGTCTGTCCACAGGAAATCTTGAGATTTGTTTGTATAAGAAGACCTTCAAAATCATGACATACAATGTCTGGCTCCGGGAAGATGTGGAAGTGATAAGAAGGATGGATGCTCTTGAGGATCTTATAAAGCAGCATAGCCCAGACTTCATATGCTTCCAGGTCCACATTCTGAGCTATGAGTTATTTTCTTTTCCCATCCTTAGTGGGATCTAATATGTTTTTTTTTGAGAAATTAGTGGGATCTAATATGTGGAACAACAGGAGGTTACACCATACATATCTATGATTCTGCAAAAATCTGACTGGTGGAAACAATACAACTGCGTGTCATATAAGAAGGCTATTGAGATGTCGTATTACTGCATGCAGGTAATTCTTGAAACAAATTTTACGTGTGATATGGTTTCCAACTTCTGGATGAATGCCTTTCACTCAATTTCTTGTAATAGAACTTGCATGGTAAACTATTTGTAATATTCTCAAAGAAGTTGTTAAATATTTTCTTTGACTGTTCATGTCATCTAAGACACATTTTGGTTTATATAATGCCTGCACAATAGTTTCATATTCAATATATGATCAATCCAAGCACTTATGCATATTTTTAGTGAAGCATTTTTCATCAGTCTAAAAGAGTTTGACTGCATGTTTCATAACTTCACATTTCAGCAAATCCTTACAAGTTACAAAGGGCTATGTTTGATTGGAATTCATGTGTTATCTATAGTTGACCTTCCATGGGAAATTGGGAGGTTGGCAATGTTTATCCTTTTCTCAGAGTTCATTTATTTTTACTGATTTCTTTTGACCTCAACAATTACAGTTGAGCAAACTGCCAGTGAAGGCATCTGACCGAATCCTATTTTCGAACTCAATAATGGGAAGAGAGCTATGCATCACAAGTGTTAGCACAGGTGAGATGAAAAAGTTGATATTAGCCACTACCCACCTAGAGAGCCCATGCCCTGCACCTCCTAAGTGGGATCAGATATACAGCAAAGAACGTGTGGATCAGGCAAAGCAATGCCTGGAAAATCTGGGACGCTTCCGCAATGCCATACTCTGTGGGGACATGAACTGGGACGACAAGGGAGACGGCCCTTTCCCTCTGCAGGATGGGTGGACTGATGCTTGGGTTGAGCTGAAGCCTGGAGAAGATGGCTGGACCTATGACACGAAGGCCAATGGCATGCTGGCAGGCATCCGCATGCTGCCGAAGCGAATGGACCTGTTTCTGTGCAAGCTGGCAGACTTCAAGATCGACAGCATTGAGATGATCGGGAAGGAGGCAATACCGGGTGTCTCCTACTCCAAGGAGAAGAAGATTAGGAAAGAGAGCCGAAAGATTCAGCTGCCTGTCTTTCCAAGCGACCACTTTGGGCTTGTTTTGACCATCACCCAGCAGGAGAAATGACAGCTTCTGAACAACTGTTACAGTGATCCTGAAGCATTTACTTTCATGCTCTTTTGCATAATATTTAGAAATAGAGAGCAGTCCCACACTTCCACTGTTCTCATTTTAGTGACCGCCCCACGATTTTGTAAATTTGGTGGAGGCATCAGTTGTGCAAATGGTGGTATTATTACCAGGTGGCTACTTGTTGATACCTGATACTTCGTTTTTCATCAATGTCTCATTGAGATGCTTTGGGTTGGCTAAAAGATATGCCCTCTCGATGGTCTTACTATTATAAATACGGAAATCACCTGACATGTTAATTACTGCCGTTAGAGAAATACAGGCTTTCTGCTAAAGTGTCAGCATCTGCGAATCCCATGTGGCTCACATCACATGCTAAGGTCCCATAGATAAACCATTCTTTACATGTACTATATGTAACCCCATACAACATCTACGGACCAAAAGTGATTCTCTGCACAAGATCGGGCCTTCTCTTGCTTGGCATCCGAAGAAGGCCAGTGATTTGCATCTCAGTAACAGCTCTGCAGAACCTTGCTCTGGAAGGCACTGCGTCAAGGATTACGCTAACTTAGATTGTGCATAAATACAATACCTTTGGGGTAAAATACCAGTCCAATGCTCTCCAAACTAACCATATAAAATCCCAAAAGTAGTATTGTCAGTAGCAAAGTAGTGGATTGCAAATTAAGTTCTTATCATAAAGGGTGTACCCAGTGCAGAGAGCTCCACTCTGTGTGGGGTCTAGGGAAGGGTGTCAGTGGCAAGCCTTACCCTCGCCTGTGCAATGCGAGGAGACAGCGACTCGAACCTAGGACCTTCCGGTCACAAGCGGTAAGACTCTACCGCTTGCACCAGGCCCGCCGTTCAAATTAAGTTCTTATCATCTTTCAAAATTTTGTTTGACCATTTTTTGGGGAGCCTAGAAGCACTAAAAAACCCATATATATTCATGGAGAACTTATAGCTCAAGGATACTGGATCATCGCTTCACCCTCCGGAGGTGTGGATTTTGATTTCTTGTTCGATGGAGAGCTGTAAGATTTCCTTTTAACTTTTGAATTTGTGCTGTTGACAATTCCTTCGAAGGATATGTACCAGTCATGAACGTTAATTACATCACCATATTCTTGGGCTAGATTGCAACTGCAAAGCAAAAGGGATTAACATCAGCAACTAATATACAGCTTATCACACAAAGTGTAAGCTTGAACATCAATATCAATTGTTTATTAAAAAATTATCTGGATCTCTATTCTTTTCATGTCTTAGGACCTCCAAATCAAGCTGTAATGACTGGTTGTGGACCTATAGATGCAAAGCTCACTGGCACCAAAGTAATGTTCGTAGGGTAGTAGTTGGAGTGTCAGGCAATATTTTAGACATGGTTAATTAAAGATACATAGGGCACTTTACTTTTTCTAGAGATATGGAGGAATCTTATAAATCAAAGTTCCTTGGACTCCTTATTACCAGGCAGTCAGGTCCATAGATTTTTTTTTTAATAAAGCTGAAAGCATAGATATTTGATTCAAATTGTACGATGGTGGAATCTTAATCAACCATATGCCATAGTTTATAAAATGATAGGGCAGTAGCATTTATATTCCAAGAACAACTTCCCAAATATCAGTCAAATGCTTATTCAATGGACATATGGACTTACATAATTGATGTGTCATGCCAGGATCCTGACAACAGTTCCATTAGCTGCAACAAGAGCATTTCAGATGGCCGTGTGACTTCAGTAGATCAAGTTGAACCATTCTTCTTGGATTTCCAATCAGTGCCTGGATTGAGATGCAACGCTTGAAATCAGGATAATGTTCTTTTACAGGTTCACTACTATTATTAACTTAATATTACATGCTAACACAATAGAACAGGACCAGATAATTTAACCCACTAGTAAGTCAGAGTGAAAACTTACAGACTGCAGAATGCCAACATTCTTGAAGCAGATGATTTCATGAAAGGGTAAACACTAAACAGGCACCAAATATTTCCTGTTTGAATGTATAGAGTTCAGATGCTGAGGAAAACTTTGAAGCTGAACATGTTAAATGATTTTTCGAAATAAAATGGTAAACATCCTTTCTTAGATAATAGGATACAGTTAAAGGGTCGATGATGATGGTGATGTCAACACAATCTCAATGGATAGGAACTTTCTTATCCGAAAGGTCATATGAAAAAATAGGTCTAATCATACAGAGTTAATAGAATGTTGCATAGCCTTTACCTAGTAACATCTTGTAATAACATGTCAGCTTGCTCATTTAATGGAACTATCCCATTTCCAGTGCTGCTGGTTGACCTCCTACCCAGCACAAAAGATGGTGAGACAATTTGAGATAATATATAGAGTATATTAGAGTTTTGAGTACACAATATGCTTAATAGTGTAATTTAAGGAATACTAAATTAGATGGATTACCAGGACATCCAATGATTCTACTAACCATTTTGGATTCAGTATTACTATTCTGTCTTGGCCTTTTACTACTTGATTAATCAAATTTTACATGGGAAGGGACTTACCTAGTCCACTTTTCTTTTTTGGTCATCACTCTATCTGAAACGATTTTGGCTGACTCGATTGTGGTTGACTGAAGTTCTTTCACTTTGGCATTGATCTAGAAACGAAATAAGCACATTGAGAACTAGCACAACTGTAATATTGCAAACTAGAAAAAAAGAACTCAACCAACCTAGGAGGAACTAGGTAGCATTGTAAACAGGAACGAATAGGCCCCTAAATTCGAGCTGAGCTAGGCTTAGCTCCCCTATATTGCAATTTGCAAACTATTATGCTTGACCCCTGTCATAAATTCGCATGTGGTCACTCGGTGGAGGTGTATACCGACACCTCCCACCAACTGAGCTAGGTTCAGTTCTTATATATTGCGAACTAGTAATATAATGTTTGACCCTGCCATAAGTTCACATGTGGTTATTCCAATTAAACAAAGGAATCTGGTCAAAGAAGGTTATCAGATGAAGAACATTCTGAATGTAGCTTATCAAAAACATAAGAAAAAAGCAAAAACACCTTAAAATTTGAACATTAAAGAACAAAATGAATAGCTCCTTTTTCAGAAGAAATACAGATAAACAAACAGAAACAGAAAAAGCCATCATTGTAAGCAGAAAACCTACAATAGTAAAATGCTTAAGTTTAACCTAAATGAATTTAGCGAGCAATGCATAAAAAATGATAAAAATAAACTCTTGTGGTTTACTCGAGAGAAACAAAATGACATCTTTGGTACATTGAGGCACTGGATGGCATATGCATTTTGCCATAAACAGTATGTAATATGAATGAACATTATAATAAGAACACAAGAAGCTCTATTAGCTGATAACTCGGTTTAGTATGCATGCTGAACTGTTTTTTAGAACAAAATGATGCAGAAATGAGCATATACCTCACTCATTCCCTAGAAAGGATCACTATTTGTTGCATTTTGAATTTGAAGGTTTGGGTTGACTGCCTTGCAGAAAATATCCAAAAGCTGCACTTTGTCATGTCTTCCAGCTTCATACAGGCACTGTATCACAACAATATATTTGACATGTATATTAGTATTTTGTCAATTTCCTTTTATTTTCTGTGTAAATAGAAGTACCCAATCCAGATGTGTTTGTATATGCAAATTTCAGAAGACGAAAATGGTTTTTGTGTCATAAAGTTAGATCCATAGAAACCAAATTAGCTCTACAAAGTTTTATTAGACATAATGGGTACACTTGCAAACTCGCTATGACTGACAAATTTGACGTAAAAATACAACAGTTGACAAGTGCAAAAAAAAAACTTACCAAGACAACAGAATTCCAATCCTTCTGCAGTTTCAGCAGCTTAGACAATCCTTCTACTATATTGTTGATAGAATTGCATGAGTTCTTTGCACTACGATGCAAATTTTCAAATCAAGTATTAGATTAATACTGCTATAAAACCGTGTGGTCAAGGCTTATACCTTATACATCTTTAAAACATAGTCTTATACCTTTCACAAGAAGGAAGACCAAAAGCGTATTTCCGCACCACTTGAGGTAGTGCTTCCAATTTATCATGCCAAAATTCCTAAGGGGTAGTACATGAAGCATAATGTCAGAAACTAAATACAGCAATAAAGGGATAGGCAATAGCGCATAGGAGAAACTAAAAGCTAGACTATGGACTAGTAGTAACACAAAAATAATTAAGATTTTATGATTTTCAGAATAGGAAATAACAGCAACCTCACAATCTTCCTCAAGCATTCCCATGCACAAGAAGCTCAGAGGTTCCATGGAGAAGTGTTTACTGCATGCAAGCTGAAGTTTGATTCAGTCCTAGCACCCATAGTATACGGAGAAAACAGAAACAACAAAAATAGTAACATTAAAAGGGGCAGGGAATAGTAATGTAACATTAAGCACCGACCTTGAGAGCACTAATAAAAGAAGTATTTGTCCCATCATGCCTAATAAAGTAATTTCTGAGGAACATTGCATCTTCATGACTGATGCAGAATCCAGCGCATGTTTTAACAAGGACAGCCTCTACAAGTGCATCCATTCTATCTGAGGGAGATCCTAAGGTAAGTTTACAGGGCTCTAATCGTTGAAGAGCCTCTGATGAGATCAGCTTCTTAGGTGCATCAAGAGTAGTAGCTATTCCCATAACGAAGAAGATCGGAATTTTTATTACCCATTCACTGTATTATAGAGACAATGCATTAAGCTGCAGATATACTATTTAAGTGCTCAAATCAAGCCTATTGTGTCTAAAGTATATAACTTGGAGCTTTTGGTTGAACTACATATTATGTTTATTTATAATAATTCTCACGCCTGCCGACAAAGATTTAAGTAAGGTAAGTTGAGTTCCATGGGGCATGGACCACATTTAAAGATAGGTAAGGGCTACAACAATATGCCTCAATGCTTTCCCAGATAAGACTAGTGCAAATATCTAAAGGTAGCAAAATGGGATAGGCTGGTATGTTGAAACAAGTATTTGGTCCTTGTTTGATGTAACAACACTGTTTTTTTTTTCAATGTTTGTACTCTGCTCATCATGTTTCGTCAGCATGTAAACGGAAGCATATATGCCCATATTGATAGGAACAAATGTACATATGCTATGGGACACAACTTACCTCAGCATCATCACAAGCTCTCCCAGCACATAACCAGAACATTGCTCCAAATCATCAATTATGACAATGATTGGTTGGTTATAGTTGTCATCTTTGCAGTACCACGATGCCAGTGCAGATACATCAGGAACCTTTTTTTAGTGAGAATTTCAGCAACAGACAACATGAATACTCAAGTTATGACTAATACCATATCTTCACAGACTAAAGCCAAATCATGCCACTCACGTCTGGAACATCTGATAGTAACTGCCTCAGCAGGCTCTTAAAGCAACCACCAACTCCATTTTTCACTGACAATTCAGCTGCTGACAGCTTGGCCAGGTGACATCCACTGGACACGAGATGCTCCGGTAGATCCCGAAATGTTGTGATGTCATCAACAAACTCTGCATTTTCTGCAAAAAAAAGAAGCATAGTCTGAACCCATCAATAATGCAATTGTTCACATTGCCGACTTGGGCATTTGACGCAGAGCACTCACTGGTGAGAACAAATGCCGTTGGTATCCTTCTGCAGATCACATCGGTTAGGAGAGGGTATGGCTGCTGGACTTCAGTGTGGCAAGGCTTAGCGATGGCACAGACCGCAGAAAATGATTCCTGCATCCACTGCAGCACCTGGTCGAACAGCTTGAGGTTGATGCCCCTGAGGACCTCCTGGTGGCAATCCACAGAAAACAATTTAATTCATCAGAATATAGATAGAACCAATGAGAGGCGAGGAGCATACATCGATGGTGGCTGGATCTTGGACCAGGTTCGATGGAATGCCTCCAGGCGCAGCTGCTCGAAAAGCTCCGAATCTTCCTCATCCTCATCAGCAACATCATGGGACCTCTTCTTCGCCGACTTGAGGTTTTGGGAAGATGGCTATGCGGCATCGATCCGCCGTCGAGTCCGGGAGGATGGCGCCAATGAAGTGGCGGTCGCCACCGCCTTGTGGAGGACGAAGAATGGCTGCGAGAAGAAAGAAAGAAATGACTAGACTAGGCATCAAATTTAGCAGCCATGAAGGGGAGGAGGAGGCGCAAACCGGGAGCAACCGCGGACCTGGATATTGTTGGCTGCGGTGAGGGGAGTGTCACCGGGGGGCGCGGCCATGGCTGGTGCCTGGTGGGAGGATAGTTTGGGGGTTGTGGGACTGCCGGGGAGTGAGCAACCCTCTAGTCCATTTGCCTCGCGCAGCTGCGCCGCCGCCGGGCGCGCCAAGGGAAGAGACGGCGGCGCGGTTTCCGTGGGAGAAAAGCGCGCGTAATTGTTGGGCTGCTGGAGCCTCATCACCTGCCGGCTGCCGGCAATAGATGATCCTGACAAGCCGGCGCCGGCCCACGAGACAAGGCCCAGTATCTCGCGCTTCTCAAAGCCTTGCCACAAAAAAATATAAAAAAGGAATCCGTTAAGATTTTTAGATACCGAGGCTTTGAACCCGACGTGAATCTAAACACGCAACCTTCTGATCTGGAGTCAGACGCGCTACCATAGCGCCACCGATCCGGTGGTGCTAGACATGCATCTCTATATTTATATGATTTCAAAGAGAACTGATGCCTGCCCATTTTTACGTCTTCTTGGACGACTTATCATTCTGAACTTTGACTAAAAAATACATTTTTGCATGTCGAGGTCAGATGACTGAAAGTGATACGAGTAGATTAACTCGAAAGTAGAAGTATGCATTTGTTATTATAAATTATAGATATATAATATATTATTTATTATGCCCATAGAGCTCACAGATTGAAATAGTTGGCTTAAAAAAAACTCTAAAACATTGCTTATTATATATCTGACTCGGAGTAGGCGCATTTGGTTCTTCAGCCAAAGCTCTTTCGTTGACTTTTGGCTTTTGCAAAAACAAAAAAGGTTTAAAAGCCCAAATAAATAGGGCCTTAGCTTACCGAATGACAAGGATATTAGGCCAGTGAATGAGTTCGGTTGGCTTGCTAGCTATATTGGTTTTTGTAGGCAATGACCTTGTTTAGTTGGCCAAACTTGGGAGGTGCAAAGTTTGCACAGTGTAAGATTCCCTACTGTAGCATTTCGTTTGTATTGTGAATTATTGTCAAACATTGACTAATTAGGCTTAAAAGATTCATCTCGCAAAGTACAATCAAACTGTGCAATTAGTTTTTAATTTCTTCTACATTTAGTACTCCATGCATGTACCGTAAATTTGATGTGACGGAGAATCTTCTTTTTACATAATACACTTTTCAGGAGTTTGGGAGGAACTAAACATGACCAATGTTTTCCTATGCTGAGCCATGCTAGCCGATTTGGTTCGCCGGCTCTGGCAAGCTTCTTAGGGCTTGTTGTTTTGCTGGACAAGGCAAAACTTGTCTGATAACTGAATAGAGGGGCTGGGGTTGGCATTTCTTATGTGCATTATTTTAGCACACGTGCATCACATGCTCCGGCTATCTCCACTAGCTACCTCGCTATCTTCTTTATCATGGTGATAGACTGATAGTAGAGAGTACCAGACAAGATTTCGAAAAATGCTTTGAGAGAAACATTAGGAGTGTTGTATTTTTGGCACAGCTGGCTCTATCAAGAAGCCCATAAAAATGGTTTCTGAGACGTCTCGTTTCTAGAAATTATTTTTTGAGGCGGTTGAAAAGTGAACCCTGTAAAAATAACATTTGTAGAGACAGCTAGACTATCTCTAAAAAATAGATTTCTAGAGGCGGTTGGCAATTTGGCGTGCCTCAAAAAATAGATACAACATAGTGAAATTCTCAATCTTTTCAATTCAACTCGAATGACTGATGAAAGGATCATGATCTCCCGACCACCATGACAGATGCGGCAAGCCTATAATAGAACCGTCCAATTTATAAGAGCACAAGTACAATAACAATCACCGAAGCGATCGAACCGTCGTACTTGAACCCATATAAACCCGGTAGTTCCATGAAATCACGAAGGATCTCAAACAAACCAACGTACAAACCAAGATCGTACATGATTCAACACAACCAGTCACATGTTACAACAGGTTCACAAATAGTTCTCATACATCGGAGTTTCAACAGAGTTATTACAACCCAAATTGAGAAGTAGCGGAAGCAACATAGTTTCGAAACATCATCAAGATAGTTTAAATATATAGCCATCTTAGGATCATCTCCAACAAAAGCACATAGGTGAGATGATATAGAATGACCATGCCCTTGGTCTTACTCTCCATCAACTGTAGGAGTCATGCAATGCTTGCAGTAATCATGGTGCATCACGTCATCTGCAACAAATAGGAATAAACCCTGAGTACGAGAATATACTCAGCTAGACTTACCCGTCATAAACCAAAAAAATAAGACACCAAGGAGTATGCATGGCTTTAAAAGGTGGAGTTAGCTGGACAACATTTTGCATAAAAGCTTAAGTAATATAACTTAGAGTTTTAGTGCCTCTAGCATCAATTTGAATACATATTCAAAGAAACATATCTAGATTAGCACCTGTACTAGAGCAATCACTTGATTAAGTTAACAAGCATTAGTAACCATATCCGATATAAGAATAATTTGAGCATCATCATAACCATCAAGTTTCCATTAAGTTATTCTACGTTGCCGCTGCTCAGTCAAGTTCTCACTATCCGGGAGAGACGGCAATTCGAATCGATTCCTACCCAGTTGGGGAATTTATTCCTAACACAAACCGAGGCACACCCCGCGAAGGTAGCCTCAGGTCACCTTTCGTACAATTTAGGACTAACTCGCGGGTCCAATTAGCGCCACACCCTCAGAGATTCTACCAATCTACCAGGAAGATCGGGACCTGGCCTCGCCCTTGAACTCACGCCATTGGCTCTCCGCACATCCTTACTGCCTCCAGTGTGCGCACTTTCACTTATCGGGGCCCGGCCTGAATTGAGCTACTCGGCTTCGCGGTCGTATCATCAGATCCGGCCAACTAAGTGCTAAGCATGCGTTCAACATGACATGAGGACGTACAGCAAATCAGTCCTTAATTGACAAAGACGGGGATAGATAGGCACCCAAGACCTCCATGCCTTGTTGCTTCTCTATCACGATCCCGCCCGGTCTCCTTTATTCATTAACACATGGTTATATTCCACGCTAGCACATATAGCCAACCGTGATTAGTTATCATCCTATATCATGCTGGTGACAGGTAATCACCCGACTTCTACCGACTAAGCATGGCTAAGCATATATTAGATCCTGAATCTACATAGGATTCAAGATATATATACCTGAACAAGGAAGATATATGCATCAAGTGGTTCCAATCAACTCCAAGTACTTAATGCATCAACATAAAAAGGACTCAAGTTGGTAGTTTGAAAACATAGGAGGCTTAGAATGCTCTAGGGCTTGCCTTTAACAAAGGTTGAGGGCTGGTGATCTGGGCACTCGGGCAACTGTTCACCGTCAGGGCTCGCCTTCTCCTAGGGCCTCTGAAAGGTCCTAATGGCTAGAGGGGGGGTGAATAGCCTATTAAAAATTTCTACAACAACACTTAACAAACCGGTTAGACAATTATGAGGTGAAGCGAGTGTTGCGCTAGCTTACTAAAATTGCAAGCCACCTACCACAATTCTAGTTTATATAGTTTCTATCCACACAATAGCTATGTCACTACACTAAGTTAGTGCGCTCTCAAATGTCAACTAAAGAGCCACTCTAACTAAACTAACAAGCTCTCACAACTAGCTACACTAAAGAGCTTAACAACTAGTTTGCGGTAATGTAAAGAGAGTGAGCAAGATGGTTATACCGCCATGTCGAGGAAGGAGCCAATCAATCACAAGAATGAATACCAATGAAGACCAATCACCTCGGAATCAAATGATGACACAATGATTTTTTACCGAGGTTCACTTGCTTGCCGGCAAGCTAGTCCTCGTTGTGGCGATTCACTCACTTGGAGGTTCACGCGCTAATTGGCATCACACGCCAAACCCTCAATAGGGTGCCGCACAACCAACACAAGATGAGGATCACACAAGCCACGAGCAATCCACGAGAGTACCTTTTGGCTCTCCACCGGAGAAAGGTCAAGAACCTCTCACAATCACCACAATTGGAGCCTGAGATAATCACCAACCTCCGCTCGACGATCCTCACTGCTCCAAGCCATCTAGGTGGTGGCAACCACCAAGAGTAACAAGCAAATCCCACAGCAAAACACGAACACCAAGTGCCTCTAGATGCAAACACTCAAGCAATGCACTTGGATTCACTCCCAATCTCACAAGGATGATGAATCTATGATGGAGATGAGTGGGAGGGCTTTGGCTAAGCTCATAAGGTTGCTATGTCAATGCAAATGGTCAAGAGAAGTGAGATAGAGCCGGCCATGGGGCTTAAATAGAAGCCCCCATGAAATAGTCATTGTACCCCTTCACTAGGCACTACTCGGGGTGACCGGATGAGCCGGTCAGATTGAGCGGACGCAGGACCCCAGCATCCGGTCGCCCGATGCTTGCCATGTGTCATCGGCTTCAAACGCTGATCGCCCGATTTTAACGGTCCAGTCATGACCGGACGCGCTGCTCGAAGTGATTGGACATACCAACACCAGCGTCCGGTCATTTCCAGTAAGGTTCCAAAAGCGAAAAATCACGACCGGACGCGTCCGGTCCTGACCGACCGAACTCACCCAGCATCTAGTCACTCAACGTCTCCCCTGTGTGCTGCATATGTCATCATACGTTATACTGACCAGACTCAGGCCCTGAGCGTTTGGTCATGAGACCAAAACCACACGCTCACTGCTACCACTGACCGGACGCGCCGGTCTAGTTGAGTCCAGTGTCCGGTCCACTCTGTAAGACCCTGTCTTTTCTGTATAGGGCGCCGGTGAAGTTTCTAACCCTTGCTCAATTGTGCCAACCACCAAGTGTATCACCTTGTGCACATGTGTTAGCATATTTTCACAAATGTTTTCAAGGGTGTTAGCACTCCACTAGATCCTAAATGCATATGCAATGAGTTAGAGCATCTAGTGGCACTTTGATAACCGCATTTCGATATGAGTTTCACTCCTCTTAATAGTACGGCTATCAAACCTAAATGTGATCACACTCACTAAGTGTCTCGATCACCAAAACAAAATGGCTCCTACCACTT